CCGGGGAAGACCCAGGACACGCTGGAGGGACTATGTCGCTCGGCTGGCCTGGGAACGCCTCAGCATTGCCCCGGACGAGCTGGAGGAAGTGTCTGGAGAGAGGGAAGTCTGGGCATCTTTGCTTAGACTGCTGCCCCCGCGACCCGGTCCCGGATAAGCAGAGGAAAATGGATGGATGGATGGATGGACAATAAATCATATAGATAAATTACAGGCTGCAAACAAATACACAACTAATCTGGTAAACATTGGTAATCCAGTACTGACTGTGCTTGAACTGATTTAGAGGCCAAATTGGAAGAATTATGTTTTCATCTGGTTCCACACCTCTAGTGCTTTTTACTTTAGTACAGAAGAACAAATTAAACTCTAAGCTGTGTTCAGATCAACAACTGCATAAAAAACACACCCATTTATCTGAACGAGGCCACTGCACTCATTTGCTTCCAAACTAATACCACGTAATACCAGGGAAACAATGCTAATTTTGGTATGTTGTATTATTAAAAATAGCTAATAGCTAATGTGAGAATATATGTGCAATAACCCCTTACTAGACATGCGCCATAATAATACAGAATTGTTCCACAAGGTAATTTTATAAGAGCACCTCATCAACAGTGTTCTCTTGTGGGACCTGAATAATAGCAGAAATAATATAATAATAATAATAATACCAAGCAATGGAAACAAGCCTTAATATAAACTGTGTTTTAGTATGTTATAACCCCTCACTACCTCACCAAGCATAATGACATATCTAACTCCACCATGTGAATTACTAAGTGCGATGTTTGAAGTTCACTGGGAAAATACTATTACCCTATTTTTGTGTACTGCGGTTTTAATGCTTTGTTGCCTTTATGTAACTTTTTATTTTAAGACTAAGTGTTCTTTCTGGCTTTTGACTCCTTAAAAGGAGAGCTGCACAAGAATTCCTATATGCCTAGATTGTTTATGCATAAATGGCAAATAAAAATTTTGACTTGACTAATAGGAACGAGCCATGTGTCATAGTTTATGAGACCTTTTCAGGCATTTTTTACTTACCCGTTAGTTACTACAGTAAATCATGACTGTTTTTAGTGAGAAATAAATATTTAAAGTGGGTAAAATAAGTATTGAACACGTCACCATTTTTCTCAGTAAATATATTTCTAAAGGTGCTGTTGACATGAAATTTTTTACCAGATGTCGGGAAAACAATCCAAGTGATCCATACATACAAAGAAAACAAAACAATTAATTCAGAAATTAAGTTATGTGTAATAAAATGGAATGACAGGGAAAAAGTATTGGACACGCTTACTGAAATGTATTTAATGCTTCGTACAAAAGCCTTTGTTGGTAATGAAAGGTTCAAGACGCCACCTTTATGGAGAAACTAATCGCATGAATTGCTCAGGTGTGATTATGGCCCATTCTTCCACACAGTCTTCAAATTTTGAAGGTTTCACGGGCCTCTTCTATGAACTCTGATCTTTAGTTCTTTCCATAGATTTTTTATTGGATTCAAGTCAGGTGATTGGCTGGGCCAATCTAGCAGCTTTATTTTCTTTCTCTGAAACCAATTTAGAGTTTTGTTCGCTGTGTGTTTGGAATCATTGACTTGCTGAAATGTCCACCCTCATTTCATCTTCATCATCCTGGTAGATGGCAGCAGATTTTATCAAGAATGTCTCGATACATTTGTCCATTATATGAAGTTTGCCAGTGCCATATACTGAAAAACAGCTCATGTTAGTTTTGAAAAACACCATGATGTTCCCACCTCCAAACTTCACTGTTGGTATGGTGTTTTTGGGGTGATGTGCAGTGCCATTTGACCTCCAAACATGATGTGTATGGCATCCAAAGAGCTCAATTTTGGTCTCATCTGACCAGCTTATGTTCTCCCAGTATTTCACAGGCTTGTCTAAATGTTGTGCAGCAAACGTTAAACGAGCTTCAACATGCTTTTGCTTTACAACGGAGTCTTGCGTTGTGAGCATGCATACAGGCGGTTGAGTGCATTACTTATTGTCTTCTTTGAAACAATTGTACCTGCTAATTCCAGGTCTTTCTGAAGTTCTCCACAAGTTGTCCTTGGCTCTTGGACAACTCTTCTGATAATTATTTTCACTCCTCTGTTAGATCTCTTGTGAGGAGCACCTGGTCATGGCCGGTTTATGATGAAATGTTCTTTCCACTTCCGGATTATGGCCCTAACAGTGCTCACTGGAAAATTCAGAAGTTTAGAAATCCTTCTGTAACCAATGCCATCAGTATGTTTTACAACAATAAGGTTGCAAAGGTCTTAAGAGAGCTCTTTGCTTTCACCCATCATGAGATGTTTCTTGTGTGAAGCCTTTTTATAGGCCATCAGTTGGGACTGAACCAGCTGATATTAATTTCCACTGACAAGGGGCAGGATTGCTTTCTAATTACTGATAGTTGGTGTCTTGGCTTTCCATGCCTTTTTGCACCTCCATTTCTTCATGTGTTTAATACTTTTTCTCTGTCATTTCATTTTATTACACATAACTTAATTTCTGAACTTATTTGTTTTGTTTTCTTTGTATGCATGGATTACTTGGGTTGTTACCAACATCTGGTGAAAATTTCATGTCAACAGCACCTTTAGAAATATATTTACTGAGAAAAATGGTGACGTGTTCAATACTTATTTTACCCGCTGTATTGTGTGAAGTCTCTAAACTAACAATGCTCACGGAACGGCAGTAAACCAACAAGACCAATTGTTCTTTATTTATTTGGTAACAAGCCTGTTGATGCAACTGTGGATACTCAGAACAAGACTTAGTGTTGTGGTATCGCTACTGTATTTTCAGAAAATAATGTTTACCAGAATACAGTGTGACATCATCTAACAAGGTGCTGCATTTGCCAGTCAAGTACATGCAAGCACACATTCATGGATTGCGTTGTAATGTGAACATAGTTTTTCTACTTTTTACCTCAATTTTTTCATGGCAAGATAAATAATAATTGCCACCATGATCATTTTCCACAGCGGTTAAATCTTTCTTCATTATATTATAAACCACTGTGCAACATTTTGCCATTGGATAAACCTTAAAAACTCCTGGATTTATTACTTCAACTCGATTTTCAGAATCAGATTTTCATAGGCTTACTGATACATGAAGCAACACTCCTTGCATTTTTTAAATAACAATTACTGAAACAACACCACACATATCAGATGACAGATTGATTAATAGACTATGGAAGCCAATTGAAGAAATGAAAAAGAAAGAAGAAAATTGTGTTAAAAAATGTCCATGGTCAGTCAAAATGTGTAGTATACATCAGGGGCCCCAACCTTTTTGTATCAGGGACCGGTGTCATGCATGAAAATGTTTCCGTGGACCGGGTAGAGGCGCGGGGGTTCCAATAACAAAAACGTTTGTCAGTTCATAGTATGTAATCTGAATGCAACAATTACACTTTATATTAGGCAATTACAATAATTCTACACTATAATAATCAATTCACCATAATGCAGAGTCAGTGGGAGCCCTGGGCTTGTTTCCCTGCAACTAGAAAAAAATTCCAAGGGTGTTTTGGCTCAATGTGGCGGAGCATTTTTGAGGGTTTCATGGCTTCATTAGCTTGTTGGTCA